CATAATGAGATATCACGTGAGACCGACTTATCGCGATTCATTTGATTATACTTGGGCTAAGTGATTGACCGACTTAGTGCTTATCGTGACTTTATATAGATTGACTGACTTATTGAATTTTTTTAAATAGTAAAAAAACGGGGCGAAAATTTTTGGCCGAGTTAGGCCAAAACCGGCTTATCGAGTGACCGACTTATCAAGTTTACATATGTATATGAAAATTTATTATTGATGTTTATTATTTTTGATGATCAACCATTGTGACCAACCCCAATAGGTTATCCCAAAATTTACCCAAAATATAATTGGCTAATCGAGAAAATCTGCACTAATATGGTCAAATTACAGCCATTTTTGGTAATAATATTCGCGCGCTCAATATTAAGTTTACCCAAATTTAGGGTAACCTATCTATGTAGTTTCCGGGGTCCTCTTTTGATATTAACTTTGTATCACTGCATCATCATTTGTTTGTTCATTCATAGGTTCCTCAATTTTCCTTCACTACTTGTCATACACCAATTGATACAGGTGCTCTCTACGAAACTGGTCTCAATAATGGTATGAACAAGATGCAGTTTTGCGATGAAGCATTAGTAGTGTTGATATGACCCTGCAAACTTCATAGATAGGTTACTGCCACAGCTAAGGCTCCAAACAAATCAATGAAATTTAAATCGAATTGATTTGAACTGATTTGAATATATAATTTGATTTGAATCTATAGCAATTATTATCATTCATTAATTATATTTATTATTTAGATTTAATGAATTTATTAATGAATTATGCAACTGTAAATTGTATTCATCATTATGTTATCATTACTGTTATCAATTAATAATATTGTGATGGTGGCCAGTGTTGAAAATTCAATGTCCAGGTCATAGTTGATTCAACTAAATCAACATATGATGGTTTAAATCATATTTCCATTTTTACCAGATGGCATATGAAAGAGTTTTAAAGAGACGTTATTTCATCTTCGGCTTCATCTTCTAAAAATAAGAATGTGGCTTCTTCCTCTTCTAAGAAACTTACACCCGATAAACAGGCTTTACCCTAATTCGAAGGAAAAACAAACCATATTAAAATGGATTGGTATTACTCGTTGTATATATAATAAATGTTTAGCAGCAGTTAATGTTGGTATAAAAATAAAAACAATATTTAAAGACACTGATCTTAGATACCATTTATGATATTAGAGATGCAGCAATTATTGACCTATAATTCAAAATATTGCAGCAAAAAAGAAAAATTTTAATTAAATTTAGATCTAAAAAACAGTTGTCAGATTGGAGAAAAGAAAGTGGACATTATTCATTCCTCAAATGTATTAAAATCAAGTGAGAAAATACCTGAAATAAAATACAACTGTTGTCTCACATGAATCATCCTGGTAAGTTCTATTTAAACCACTTGAAATTAAAGCTGATGACAACGTCTTAAATTTTCGGTGATTGAATAGAGTAAGAGCGCTGGTATCATTTCTCTTGATGTAAAGTGAAAGGGATTCTATTCATGGAGATTATATTTTTTATGTTCATTTGCTTTACCATCAATGCATACTCCGGATCCACAAAAAAAAACGTAATCTTGTCATCGAAAACTTGCAGGATGGTTTACGAAAACCACCCTGTTGTTTTACTTCCTGAATTTTAATACATGGTTTTAGAAAAATCCAATCTAAAATTGCAAGGTAAATAAATGTTGACCTGTTCACATTTCTGCTTCCGCCAATATTTGCTCCATAAATCCCACAAAGCACCCTTGGTGCAAGGTGATCATCGACACTGAGGAATACATTAATAAACTGTGTAGATGTTGTGGACGCATCAAACAAAACCTTGGTTAAAAGACCTTTAGATGTACAATTTGTAAATCAACCATTTATGGAGATGTAAACGGAAGAGTCTCGCGACGTTGGGCATAGATAGTAATAGACACCCTACTTTGGGATAAAATTTTAAATAAAATTGTGATACAAAATTACTAAAATTAATTATTTTTTTTAAAAATTTTTTTATATTAATAAACAAAACAAAAAAAACACAATTCATCAAATATTTAGAACGACGATGTCTTCATCCAGCACTAACTCTTCTGACGACGATAAATCTAAAGCAAAAGTCAGAATATTCATTCGTTCGCCAACAACACTAATACCTGAGGGATTTTCTGTATTAGCAAATCTTGACTCGTCGGTTCTTTTTTTGAAGCAATCAATTTTTGAGACACATCCCTCAAAGCCTAACATAAAAGACCAAAAGTTAATTTATAGAGGAAAAGTTTTAAAAGACTCGGATCTTGTTATCAATGTATTGCAAGAAGGGTTGTCAACCGATCAAACTTTCCATTTAGTTGTAAAACCCTCGTTTCAAACCATTGCCGAGACTACTGGGATGCCAATAAGACCACCTAGTTCCAACGCAGTACCTACCACTACCACTGCGACAGCTCAAAACATTCGGTTTCCTCAAAATCAAACTTTACATCCAGTTCAAAATTCTAATATGCTTATTAATGGAAATAACCTTCAACAACCTCCGGCATACTTTTATCCTAATGTTCCTCAATATCAATACTTTGTTCCTCCTACACTAGATCCTTCACAAATTCAAGGGCAACAAAATGCAACTATATTTAATCAACAGCAAGAAGGAATGGCAGCTCAGATGCACAATCCTTTTGTTATGGGATTTCCATTACAATATTATGTTATGATAAAGTAAATGAGGTTTTATATTTTTTAAAAAATAAATCATATAGCAAGTAGTATATGATAAATTATTAAATATATAAATTTTTTAGTGGAATGCCTCATTTAATACAAATGCCATTTCCTAATCCACAACCTCAATTATACCCATATCCACAACAATATCAATTTATAAATCAACAACAAATGGGTATAGCGCCTGCACAACAACCTTTAAATGCCCCTCAACTTCATGAACAACAAGATATTGGTGCAAGAAATCAAAGGCGATTGGCCAGTTTATGGTTAATTTTAAAATTGAGCTTTTTGGTATATATTTTTTCAAATAATGCTAGTATTGAGCGAATAATTTTGTTGTGTCTTTTAGCAATGGTGATTTTCTTGTGAGTAATAATATATATACATATAGTAAGGAGCTTATTTTTTGAGCTTATTGAATATAGCTTGTTTATAAAACTATAAATTACTAGATCTCAAACTGGACGATTACGGGTAGTACGGAGACGAAGACAAAGAATTGTATTCCCAATGGCTAATGAAATTATTGGTTTGTATAAATCTAATATACATATTAAATGATAAATATAAGCTAATTATTACTATAATATGTATTTAAAGCCCAACAGCAACAGCAACAACAACAGCAACTAATAGCAGCTATTCAAAATAATCATGATGTTAATCTTAGAATGAGAAATGAAAATCATGTTGGACCCGACCAATCAAGTCCATCAACATCTTCAACAACTTCAAATAACGATAATAACAGTAGTAGTCTTAAAAATGATAATGATAATGTTGAGACTAGCTCTACTAGAGCTGCTTTGTCACCATCATCATCATCATCATCAACATCATCATCACAAAATATTAACAATGTTATTAATGATACTAATAATAATAATGATAATATGGTGGTAAGAAATGAAGAATTGCCACCAGTACAAGAAAATAATAGACCCACAACTTTACAAGATATTGAGCATGCATTGTGGACTTTTGTAACATCTTTAATACCATCCAATCCACCTGATGTCATGCAACAAGATGATATGATGTAAAAGTTCTGCATAAAGTATTTTATAAATTTTGATAGTGTCTCTAAAATATTGATTTTTATCTTTACATGTGATCCAATTTATCATTTTATTTTTTACATTTTAGAAAGTTTGAATAATTATTTTGTTGAAGACCTATTTATTATACAAAAATATTTATTTTTCTTTATTGGTAAATCGGAAAAGAGAATAATAATAATAAATTTTTTTTTAGAATTCATTATTTATTATCTTGAGTTCTTTTGTCTTTATTTAAAATAAAAAACATTAAAAGATTACAAAAAAAATAGTAGCAAAAATCTATTGTAAAATCTATTTAAAAGTTGATAACTAATATTAATTTATTTATAATTAATTACACCTTTTGATTAACTTTATCAGTTGTTAAATTTCTTGGCCAGAGAGGCAAGGTGAAATAAGAAGTCTCGTCAGTGAGTAGTTGAGCTAATACCATGTACCAAGCAATAAAAGACGACAAAACTATATAAATAAATATAAATAAATATTAGAATAAAATTTATATAATAACACAATCAACTTATTTTTTAGATAATCACCTCCAAATCCACCACCAATATGATCAAATGTTGTATTATGTGTAAATTTACCAATAACAAGAAAAATATATGTGAGGAATACAAAGAAGAGAATACTTATTATTACAAGATTTGTCCTTAGAGCACAAATCAACATAAAAAGCGTATCTAAAAAAAATAAAAACATAAAAGTATATTAATTAATTAATCAATTAAAGAAATTAAAATTTTTATTAGATTACTTACAAATTGTCCATCCGATAAGGTAAATGCCAATGGCATTATCAAGCATTTCCATGTTATCCTTGTATGCATCAGTTATACCAGAGCTTGGCAAAAAGATAAATCCAAAAGAAATCCAAAAACCACCTAATTAATATACATATCAGTTAATATTTATCAATATCGATTATTCGATCAAAAAAAAATTTATCTTTACCATAAGAGCTTAATAATGTAGCACAAAAAGTATTCCCATTTTTCATTTCCCACATGCCTGCCAATAATTGAATAAATCCTCCATAGAACAATGCTAAACCAAGACCCACTTGAGGTATTTTTATGTCTACAACTGAAAACATAGAGAAAACAAATGTAGACATTGCAAAAGCACTTAAACCTAATGGAGCAGGATTTGCAATAACATTTTTTGATCGAATTTCTTGATCTATTGGTAACATGATTTTTTTATCTTTTGATTTTTGATTAAAATCGTTTGGCCTTTCTTTTTATTAACAATTTAGCATCGTTATGTGACATGCAGATCATTCTTTGCATACGACATATTTCTATAATAATAACAAATTTAGATAGAATGAACAATTGTATTATTTTTAATTATGCTTCCTAAATGAGCTTGAAAAAAATAAATCATTTTCAATCAAAAATAATCATTTTAGGTTGTATATATAAATAATAATAGTAATGATATGTTGCTTAAAATGGAAAAAAAAAACAAAATAAGTTGTTTGGAGAAGAGTCAAATTGAATGCAACATAGTAATAGAAGTAGTTATTTTGATTGTGTTGCTTCCACATTTCTCAATTCGAAAAATAAATCATTTTAAATTGTATAATAGTAATATTGCTGCTCATCTTTAATAAGTAGTTTGTTTTGTATTGCGCATTAAAATGATAATCAATTTGAAAAAAAAAAAAACAAAATAAGTTGTTTGGAGAAGAGGCGAATTGAATGCAAGCAGTAGTTATTATTAATTGTGTTATTTCCACATGTCTCAATTCGAAAAAAAATCATTTTAAATTGTTTGTATAATAGTAATGGTGTGTTGCTTTAAAATGATCATCAATTTGAAAAAAAAAAAAACAAGTTGTTTGGAGAAGAGGCGAATTGAATTTGGAAAAAAGGCAAGTTGTAAAAACAATAATGGCGCCTACTCATCTTGTTTATTAATTTTCAACTAATATAAAAAGTATAGCTATCCTTTTACATCTTCGACAAAATAATTATCTGCTTCCTTTGATATATATAATAATTAAAAATTTACCTCTGATATAATAATTAAAAATCTATCACCTTTGATACAATAATTAAAAATCTATCACCTTTGATATAATAATTAAAAATTGATAAATACAAATCATATAATATATACTTTTTATTGCTTTCCTCTCAATACCTGATTTTTTTAAAATTTTCTCTATAAACATATAATGGATCAACAAACCTTCAACAATCAAGAGTCCAGCGACCTCTATCAAGATAACTTTGATAACATA